ATACATTCTAGTAAAGATTATTTAATGGAGAAAAACCACAGTAGATAAAAAACACAAAAAGAAGAAAAAACAATTGAATATGAGACTTATATGTGCAGACTGAAATTGATTGAAGGTTAGTAGCCGACGACCAGATATTAATTAAAAATGAGTAGGTGGCGACGAACCCTACTGAAGGTGACATCATACGTGAAGTCCAAATACCGAGGGTTCAATTCTGTTTGAGAGGAAGTAGGAACTTTCAATGGCGAGATTGCAATTTATGCTTGGACAGAAAGGAAATTTCATGGTGTTAGAAATTTTTCGATGGAAGGATCAGTTCATCGGTTTATATGCCTAATTTTTCGTGAACTCTAAACATTACACCTTTTCAAATGATATATAGCTAGTTATTTCTTTTGTGGCATATAGAAAGTGTCATTAAAACTTAAATTAGTGGCACAAAAGCTAAATGCCACTGAAAGTTTGTGCCACTAAATGGCATTTTGTTTGTAGTGACAACACCTACCTAACTCAAAAGATCAAGTGTCGACTCATCCTACTGGTTAAAGCTCTTAAGGTTAATGTTCGAGGTTTGATGGCCTTGACTTTCCAGTTGCAAATTGTAAGCGGAAAGAGGCTAATCCTAATTAGGGTAGGATGAGCTTGACTAAAAGTATGATGAAGGGTCAGAGCTACGGGAAAGAACTCGACTAAAAGAATTAGGGTTTTTAGATGTAAATGACATAATCGGACAAGGACTTTTTGATGTTTTACACAACGAATTGAATTTACTTGATCTTGACATTAACAATATACGTGGACAAGGTTATGATAATATATCAAATATGAAAGGAAAAACATTTTGATGAAATTTCAAACGATACTTCTTGTAGTGCTTAACAATTCGCGCAAGAAAAATTTAGAGTTAAATATTTTATTTATATTGTTGATCAAGCAATTACTTCATTAACTACAAGGTTTGAACAATATCAACAATATGATAAAATATTTGGTTTTTTGTTTAATTCAGAAAAAAATACTTTCATTAGATGTAAGATGATATTACCTTAAAGTCTTGTTGTAAGTCTATTGAAACTTCACTCAAGAAAGATGAACAATCGGATATTGATGGAAATGACTTATATGTTGAATTAAAAGTACTTTTACATCTTTTGCCTAAGGAAAAAATGACAACAATTGATATTCTAAATTTTTTAAAACGTGTTGATTGTTTTCCTATTACATCTATTGCATATAGAATTATGTTGACTTGTAACGACCTAATTTTTACAAAGAAATTTTTCATTTTTGAATAATTTAACACATTTCCAATATCAAGAGATCCAGTTATAATTGTTTTCAAAACATAATTCAAATACAACTTTTATTCCAAACATCATAGTGTCCCACAAAAGTACGAGAGAGTGCACGCCGCGCCATCAAGCTTTGCCCTTGCCCTTGGGCTCCGATGTACCTGAAACAAATCCACAAACTGTAAGCTAATGCTGAATGAGTTCCCCAAGCACACCACACACAACCACATACAACACATCATACTAGCTATAGCAGATATACATATCACAGACGCCATGCATACAACCGATAAGGATGCCGTGGGCTCGTCCCCAGGGTCTTACACTAGGATGCCATGGGCTCTCCACATGGTCTTACACCTAAGTGTCATGGGCTCTCCCATGGTATTTGATAGGAAAGCCATGGGCTCTCCACATGGTCTTACATCCAAGTGTCATGGGCTCTCCCATGGTCTTCCATACAACATACCACGTATATCAATCGCATACTTCCTATCTCATGCCAACTAACACGTCACATAATGCAATCTCAGCTAAGATACTACACATCATAAAATGGGCCGGCCTTGGTGCCTTAGACCCATTGGTATGGTGAGGAGACTCACCTCTCAAAGGCTGAACTGGTAAGCTGAAGTCAAATATATCCCACACGCTGCTCTTTCTCAACTGCCTATAACCATCAAGTGATTAACTTATCACCATCTCATAAATACTCTCAGATCAACCCTAGTCAAAATCAAGGTCAAGGTCAAAGTTCACAGTCACGGTCAACAGTCCATGTTGATCTCGACTCGTCGAGTATAACCATTCACTCGTCGAGTTCCTTTCTTAACTCGCCGAGTCATTTGAGTGATTCGTCGAGTTCCTTAATGTTCGCGGTTTCAAACCCTCAACCGCAAACCCCCTGGCCGTAAACTCTTTGGCCGCAAACTCTTTGGCTGACTCGTCGAGTCGATTAAAGGACTCGGCGAGTTCCCTTAATCCTTCTCGTTTTCGGCCTTCTCCAGTGGGATTCAGGGTCCCAAACTTCAGATCTAGCCTTCCCTAGTGAAGATGTCACGTAAAGTTGCAAACTTTACGTGCATGCAAGGCCTCACATGGCCATAACACCAAAACTAGTCTTCATACAAGGTTTTAATGCATGGAAAGGGATTGAACTGCCTAAAGGAGATAACTTTATGTCATTCGGGATCTAAAGATGTCCAGATCTGGAAACATATCCTTGTGATAAGTTCAGATTCGAGTATGACTCCATTTTGCACCAAAAATGGCCATTTATTCCAAGAAGAGGGATCTAAGTAACTAAAGCTCAAGGTAACTACTTTATACCTCAAGATGGTGGCCAATACAGTGTAAATGTCGGATCTACTGCTTCACTCCTTGCTCCTTCTTCTTCAAGCTCTAAAAATCCTTCACAACCCACCAAAATCACTCACAAATGCTCTTACTCTCACTCAAGGGTGTTCACAGCCGCAAACTGGTTTCTGTAGGGAGATAAGGTGCTAAGGGAGGCCACAAGGGCAGATAATGATCCCTAAATAGGGGGCAAACCCCGAAATTAGGGGTTTCTCTTTACAGCTCCAACTCGCCGATTCGGGCCTTTCGACTCGCCGAGTTGGTCCCGATCCGCGTCCAAGATTAAATGCCCCTACTCGATGAGTTTCACACCCAACTCGCCGAGTCCAAGCACCAAAACCCTGAAATTAACTAAATCAAATAGCTACCTGGAACAGGTGTTACATTACTATTCATGTTATTGTTGCATCTGCAGAACAAATTTTTTCAAAATTAATGATTTTGAAGTCCTACTTACGATCTATAATGACTCAATAACGACTTAATGGATTGGCTTTGATGACAATTGAGTGTAACATGTTGGATAAAGTTACTTATGAAGATGTTATTGAAAATTTTATTTCAACGGATATTAGGAGGATAGCTCTTTTCAAGTAGAAGCCAGTGTCTTTTTTATGTATTATTTTGAATGAAAATTTAATGTTATGTATTTACAATAGAAAAATAAAATATATAATTTTTTGCTTAAATTTTGAGATCTTTCAAAATTTATGGCCTATTTTTGTTAAATCGCACAGGGTCTTCAAAATCTCGGGGCCGGCCCTGATAATATCTTGACCACCAGTTGACTTCGGCATCACCACATGATCAACAAACGATCTTCCATCTCTGAATCTGCCATTAAACAATTCCTCTCCTATTCTTGATGATCGATGTACATGTTCTCTTGTATTGGTAGTATTCGGGGCTTTCCTTGGGTATTTTGAACGATTCACTCCATCATATTGTATGTTGTTCCATACTTTCTTCGACTCACCCACATCGTTAACGCCTATGTATCACACAAAAACCATAGTTCTTGCCATTCCTTCTTACCTTCTGATGTAGATACACGTCTACCACTTTCCCATGTCGTTCAAAGATCTTCCGAAAACCGTATTTCCTCATTGCAGGCGGTATGTTGTTCACATAGTATGTTGTTATTGTTATCTTGTCATTCCTTGAGTTTCTAGCGCCTGCAGTCCGACTTCGGTGAACTTCCGTCCACTGCCCATCACCGTGTTTGTTCATCTTCTAGAGAGCAACTTTACGTACTAGTATGTGCCTATGCAATAATGATATTGATGATAAAGTAAATACTGTTTTACCGAATATTAATATTCTAATCATTTGATAATTTATTATGTTTTATTAGTGGTGCTGTAATAAGAAAGATTTTGTAGAAATAAATTAGTACGATTTTATTTTCACGATTACCAATTTGTTTTTTCATTTACAAGTGCATCATTAGTTCATTATGATATACATCACTAGTCCATATACACAAAAAAAGAAGTTACAAATATGTAACTCATAATCCGGTCGGTTCCTCTTCAGATTCTAGTATGTGATTTTTCTTTGTCTGATGTCATTGATGCCTAGCACATAGATGAGTGGTGGCTGGGGAAGAGAATCCAAGGGAACAGATTTTGTTCCCATTAGATTTGTTATGAGTTCATCAAGAGTGGATTGATAATATTTAGGTATCTACATTAAAACCATTGGGACCATTATAAAATGACTAAACATGCCACCTTTTGTAAACTATAGGGACCGATTGTAAAGTTTTGTCTAAAATTTATTTAGTGAAACAGTTATTGTTTTATTGTTTATGTTGGGATTTTTACTGCTTGGATTTATAATTGATGTAAATCTATATAGTTCGATTTCCTAGTGGAATTTCAAACCTTCTTTTGATTTTCAGTGGAGTAGGTTTTGGAGTTTTTGTATTTTTTGCAACTCAATTTCGGAAGAATATTGATCTCAGTCGTGTTTTAGGGTTGATTCATTGTAATGTTTGTAACATTGGGATGAGATATGAACCTAACTATGATCCTTGCAATGCATTTTATTATGTCTATTGATTTGAAAATCAATGGTCAAAGTCATTCTAGCTAAAACAAAAAACTTCAAATCTAAAAACTACTTCAAGTACCGGTTAACAAAAACTCTTATAGTTTTGCAAATAGACTTAATTACCTATAAAATCATGTTTTAAATAAGTTATTTTATGTAATTTTATATGTTTTAAAAGCTTTCAGCTACCGGTTATCAACTAGTTTTGATGAACACTCCATTAATCGTAGATTAAGTATCTTAATGAGAGGCGATGCTAATTTGTTAGAAAACGAAAAATCTTGATTTATTAATGTCCTATAAAATAAATTGCTACAAATTTCATGACAAATTGTTACAAAATCATTTATGACAAGCTATTAACTAATCATCTCCTCAACAATGTTTGTGTTCTTCCATAACAATCGATATCATTGGTCTCTTGTGGTTGTCCTGGAACATTTAAATCAGAACACAATAAAACAAAAATAATGAGAAAAATATGCAAAGTTGACTTTCAGATAATTTAATGTGTATATATAATAATTGATCAAACTCATTATACATTAATAGACTTACCATTGAGCACGATATTGCTTGGTAAAATAGAACGTGAGTAAGCTTGAAAGAATATCTTATTCTCTTTTAGTAGCTCTTCCCATACTATATTTGTATTTTCAATATTAATATGTACACTTATTAGATTATACAAATAGAAAATTATTTGTAAAAATACTACGTATACGTATAATGAGTTAATTACCTGTAAACGTGACAGTTGGATGGATGTTTGCATGCTTAGCGAGTGTCCTCATGCAATCATCTCGACCCATACGAAAGAGTATACATCTTTCTATTAAATGATGTACCTGTAACATCAAATATTTCGCATATAAATATTATTTTTTCTATAAAGTTAATAAATATAATGTTAAAAGATATAATTTATGTGAAATCTCTTATGGGTACACAACTTTATGTCAAAACCATTTATGGAAAAACATATGTATATATGCAATGTATGTATGTATATGTATACTCACGATTTTAATGAAGCCTTGAGGTTGACAATGTAAGCATGGGAGCTTATGGCTTTGAATCCTTCTCATATCTTTTTTCTCTTTTAAGTGATATCTTTCACACGCATTTATATGTGTGTCAAGTAATAATATCTTGTCGATCTCACCAAAAGTTCAATTAGTTAGATATTTGTTGTGTAGATATTTATTTATTTTAATATAAAGTGGTACGAAATCTAGTTATCCATAGGGATATCTAAGTGAAGGGCCAAAATAGCTCGGGAAATCTATTAGTGATAACTGATAAGTTTCTAGTCTACATTATTTGGACTTTTCTTTGGATGGACCGAGTATGATGATGTCCCCATATACCATGAGCCCAAAAGACTGATTTATAATAGGCAATGTAGTTATTAGTAGGCCCATCGACCTATGATACACATAAGCCCAATAAAGCTTCATCGAGATTTGAGTTTAGACTGTAGAACAGTAGAAGTGAGGAAAACTTGCAATTCACAATTACTTTTTAATAATATAAATAATGTAGTTTTTTAGTTTATCGAAATAATAAATGAAAAAAAAAAGGAAAAAGGGAATAATTTAATTTATCAATTTTGAAGACATAATCAAAAATTTATCAAATGTCTAAAATAGTCACTGATTTAGCAATTCATATGTAGAGATCAATAAATGAATTGAGGACAAGGAAACGTCGTTTTGGTATGTGAGAAGTTTTATTGAGCTGCAAAATGGGTCGCGAATGGTCCCCATAATGTATTTTTTTTTTTCATCTTTCTTTCATATTTACATTATTTTTTAGATAATATGATCAATATTTAGCAATTCATATGTGAAATCAATAAATAAGCTGAGGACAAGGAAACATTGTTTTGGTACGTGAGAAGTTTTATTGGGCTGCAAAATGGGTCGCAAATGGTCTCCATAATGCATTTTTTTTTCATCTTCCTTTCATATTTACATTATTTTTTAGATAATCTGATTAATATTTAGCAATTCATATGTGAAATCAATAAATAGGCTGAGGACAAGGAAACGTCGTTTTGGTATGTGAGAAGTTTTATTGAGCTGCAAAATGGGTCGCAAATGGTCCCCATAATGAATTTTTTTTCATCTTTCTTTCATATCTACTATTGCAAATCAAACAAAGAATTGAGAAAGAAGTTAACATTTTCTCATTAGATTCAACATCTGAAGAATACATTGCTTATATACATCTTATTAAGCTGCATCATCTATTCTAACATACGCCTAAATAAAACGACGTAGCTTCACATAATAGAATGAATAACTAACTAAACAGCCCTCACACTTCTTAATAGTCCCAATATCCCTCCTCAAGATGGACGCTTAAAAATATTTTTAAGCGCCATCTTGGATAAAATTGGAATCATCTTTGAATAAAGTAGGGTTTTGTGAATATGTCAGCAAGCTGGTTAGAAGTATGAATAGGCATTAGTTTGATGATACCTTCTGTGATTTTTATCTCGAATGAAATGGCAGTCAATTTCAATGTGTTTGGTGCGTTCGTGAAAAATGGGATTGGTGGCAAGTTTTATAGCTGAATCGTTATCACAAAAGATGAGTGTTGGTTGTTCCAATTGAATATTAAAATCACGAAGTAATTGTCTCAGCCAAATGATTTCACTTGTAACAGACCCAAGTGTTCTATGCTCTGCTTCAGTAGAACTTCATGATACATTGCTCTGTTTCTTTGATTTCCATGAAATCAAATAATCTCCAAGAAATACACAAAATCCAGTCACTGATCTTCTAGTATCAATACATCCAGCCCAATCCGAGTCACTAAAAGCTTTGAGTTGAAGAGATTGTTTAGCTGAGATAAAAAGACCTTGACCTGTATTTCCTTTTAAAAATTTGAGCAAATGATTAGCAGCTTGAAGATGAGAACTTTTTGGATCTGAAATAAACTGACTTGATCTGTGTACAGTATATGCAATGTTTGGTCGTGTGATTGTAAGATACAATAGACGACCAACTAATCGGCGATATTGGGAAGGATCTTTAGGAGGCTTTCCTTCAAATTTTGATGATTTTTGACGAAGATCCATTGGGAAAGAAACTGGTTTAGATGCTAACATACCAGTATCTTGTAGCAAGTCTAGCACATATTGTCTTTGAGAAATAACAATTCCTTCAGGAGATCTAGCAATTTCCAATCCTAGAAAATGTTTCAATTTTCCCAAATCGTGTAGTCGAAAATTTGCACTCAATCTTTGTTTTATTTCATTAATGGCATCAATAGAAGAGCCAGTAATGACTATGTCATCAACATAAACCAAAAGAGCTACAAAGTTGTCACCTTTTCCTTTGACAAATAATGAAAAATCAGCTTGTGATTGAGTGAATCCTTCAGAGATTAGTAAACTTGAGAACTTTGCATACCATTGCCTTGAAGCTTGTCGAAGCCCATATAGAGATTTCTCAAGTTTACAAACTAATTTTGTAACACTTCGTTTATTTATTTAATAAATAAATAAATAAATGAACGAATAGTAGCCCTAAAATAAATAATTATATGTCAAAGGTTGGTCTCGAGGAGTTAATTGTCACACTTTAAGAGATTAGGGGTTAAAAGAGTAACATATGGACTTTATTTGAAAGGATCTTGAAGAATGGGGGGCTGTTTGGTAAGTATTACACTCAATTTGTAAGGAATTTTAAGGCTGAGGGTTAAAAAGGTAAAATTTGGATTCTTTTTGAAACGATTGTAGAATGGAGGGACCATAGTTGTTATTATGGGAGAGTGTCTTGAAGGAGCCGTGTATATAACCCTAGCTTCACCGGTTTTAACCCTAACCCTACTACTTTCCCTTCAGCCGTCACCTCCCTCTCTCCATTGCTCAGCCGGCCTTCTTGCGGTTTTGATCAGCCAACCACCACAGCGACCACTGAAGCCAACCACCTCCTTCCATGGACGCCGACGAGCTACTGCCTTGCCTTGAAGCGCCAACCCTAGCCGCCAGTAATGATGTGAGAAATCGGAAAGACCGCCATGAACGCCGCCACCGACGACAGAGAACCGCTAGTTGGCACCATCTCGTTACGGAGGCCGGGGAGCAACACCGTGGTTGTCATAGTTGTTGTTCACGGTTGAAGAAGCATAAACCTCTCGCCTCTCCTCTCGATTTTGTTCGCTGCTACATCGCCACTGCCGCTCCTTAGCGGCCAAAAGGTTGATGTCACCGCTTACCACCGTGGGATGGAGGTTAAGTCCACGAAATCGCGAAGTTGTCGCCGCTATTGTCCGTCTCTTGTGTTGCCGTCTTCGCCACCCACCTCAGTGGGTGTTGGGTGTATCTTTCGGGCAAAAAGGAGCGTGTGTGCGTGTATAGGTTGTGTCCGTGATGGGAGAAGGTCGTCGGAATGTTCCTTGGCCGGGGATCTGAAGAAAAACCACCGCCACCACCGTAGGGTGGTGGCTGCCACCATGTTTAGCCGCCTGTCGCCATAAGGTGGCTATGTGTGTGTGTAGCTTAGTGTGTGTTTGGGTGTGTTCGGATATCGCGTTGTAAATTGTAACAAAATGGAATAATGAAAAGAAAATCTGTGACCACCACCGGCCGCCGTGTCGGGTGGCAGTGTGCTTTGCCTCGTTGTGTTGAGTCGTTTGGGGTGCTTGAAACCCTAATTGGCCCAAAGGAGCCCTAATGGGCCCAATGAGGCTTAATGGGCTTAATAAACCCTTATGGGACCAATAAAGCTTAAAGGACCTAAAAGCCCAATCATGTGACTAATGAGCTTAGTAAAACCCTAATGGGTCCAGTGAACCTTAATGGGCTTAAGGACTTGATTGTGGGCCTATTGGGCTAAGATGGGTTGGAAACCCTAATTAGGGTTTGGAAAACCCTAAGGCAATGAAACCCTAATTGAGATATTAAATAATAATCATTGGCAAAGATTAATCTAAGCAATATTGGACTTAATGGATTAAGTCCTTAGAGGATTAAGTCCTTAATGGGTTAAGTGAGAAACACTTAACCCTAATCGTCATTTTATGTGAAACCCTAATTTCACTTGGGTTTATTGTTGGGCCTCTTTATTGGGCCTTGATGATTGGGTTATTAATGGGCCATCTAAAGTCAAGCAATTGGACTAGAATAATTTAATGGGCCTAGGGTAAGGCCCATGTAAGGGGTTTGGGCCCAATTTGGAAAATTGGGCCATAGATGGGCCATAGTTTGGGCCTTAATGATTATATGATGTTGGGCCTTAGAATAAGACCATGTATAGGCCTGGGCCCAATTTGCAAAATTGGGCGATGTGTTAGGCTTTGATTCCTAATTGACTTTGGGCCTATGGATTGGGCCTTGGACTTGAATAAGCCAAGCTTGGGGTAATGTAGTAATTATCCAAGGAATGTACTTATGGTTATGTGTTGGGACCCAATTATTAATTGGGTGATGTTTTGATATTGACAGATCGGGATTCTGTCATCCAACAGCTGGGATTGTGTCTATGGGACTTTAGCAGTGTGAGGTGAGTTACCTTCCAGTAGAAGTGGGTCTAAGGCCACAATGCCGGCCCACTATTAGAGTTGTTTGGTAGATGACTGTCTTTGTGATAATCATCTAGGTTGTTACTACCTGATATGTTTATATGTTAGCATGATATGACGTTATGTGTTAGTAGTAGTAGGGGTGAAATAGTCCCCGGATACCGGTTGCAAGACACCGAAGGGGTAGTTAGTATCCATGCATGCCTAGCAGTATGTTCATGATATGTTATTATGTGGTAGTAGTAGGAGGTGAAATAGTCCCCGGATACCGGTTGAAAGATACCGAAGGGGGTAACTAGTACCCATGTATGCTTGGTAGTATGTACATGATATTTACTATGTTGTAGTGGTAGGGGGTGAAATAGTCCAGAATGGCTTGACATGGGTAGGTCAGTACCCCAGAATGGCCTGACATGGGTAGGTCAGCACCCCAGAATGGCTTGACATGGGTAGGTCGGACACCCCATAATTGTCCGACAGTACGTATGTTGTATGGTATGTGGTACGATAGGGGAATTCACTAAGCTTCGTGCTTGCGGTTTACAGTTTTGGTTTCAGGTACTTCGTTTCAAGGGAAAGGAGCCGGCTTGGTCGTAACGCATCACACTATGTTTTCCGCACATGAGATCTTTGGGATTACACTTTGATATTAATTGATGATAACATGCTTTGATTATTGACACTTTGGCTTTGACATGGAATGTTATTACTGACAGATTTATACTTATGGTTTTATAATAACTTATTTAAAAATGAAAATTTCGGCCTTGAATTTTGGGATGTTACAAATTTTGTTGTTGAATTAGTTGAAACATAAGGATTATATCCTTGAGGGATCTGCATATACACTTCTTCTTCTAATTCTCCATTCAAAAAAGCATTGTTCACATCAAGTTGAACAAGAGGCCAGGAATTTTGAGCAGCAATTGTGAGCAGCAATTTTACTGTGACTAGTTTCGCAACTGGAGAAAAAGTGTCCAAAAAATCAACCCCTTCTTGTTGATTGTATCCTTTTGCTACTAATCATGCCTTATATCTCTCTATTGTACCATCAGCATTCCTTTTAATTTTGTAAACCCATTTGCATCCCAAATTAAGGCTTTCGATCAGGAGGAAGGGGTACAATAGTCCATGTATTGTTTAGTTCCAATGCATGTAATTCTTCATCCATTGCTTGTTTCCATTCAGAACGTTGAATAGCTTCTTTAAAAAATGAAGGTTCTTGTTGAGTGGTTATGGCATAAATGTATGCTTGAAAAGAAGAAGACAACTGTGAATATGATAAAACATCAGATAAAGGGTATTATGGGGATTTTGCTGTTTTATCAACTTGAACAGAATTGATCAGTTGACAATGATAATCATGAAGATATGAAGGAGGATTTATGTGTCTTTTGGGTCTTGATATGTGTTGATCTGATTGTGGAATGGGATCAGGGGTAGTTTGGGTATTTTGGGTATTCTGTGAGTGTATGGGTGAATTTATGGGTGGATCAAATGTGGAAATAGATGGTAAAGGATTTGGAAGAGTATGAGAAATGAAAGGGTTTGTATGTATAAGGTTTGAAGCATTTTTGAATGGAAATATATCTTCATGAAAAACAACATCTCGTGAATTAAAGATTTGTTTTGTTTCCAAATCCATTAACTTGTAGGCTTTCATCCCCTGTGGATATCCAATAAAAACACATGCTCTTGCTCTTTGATCAAATTTCTTTCTTTGGGAAAATAAAGTGGATGCGAAAACCAAACAACCAAAAGTTCTAAGTTGTGAATACTTTGGTTGTTCTTTGTATAGCTTGAAAAATGGTGAAACATTACCCAAAGACTTTGAAGGAGTTCTGTTTATCAAGAAAGCAGCTGTGGATATGCAATCAGACCAATATTCAGATGGCATATTAGCTTGATAATACACTATCAAGATTCTTGATTTTATTTGAAGACGGATGACCTAATCTTTCATGCCACCTTTGAAAAGTAACAACATTAGCTCGAATTTGTGATTCGCCCCCTTGTAAAATGTATAATCCAGCTTGAACATCACCCTTGCCAATCACATTCTTGGTCTTGATCTGTCGAATCATAGCATGATTATAGTATAGTTCTACCATTAACTGCTTATTGTTATCAATTAACATTGTGACAGAGATCAAATTTAGCTCGAATTGGGGAACAAATAATACCTCCTTAAGCAACAAATGCTCATTTATTTTGATATCTCCCATTTGATTTACTGGTATTAAAGATTGATTCGGTAATCTAATTCTGGTATTAGTAATGTCCTTAATGTTTGTAAATAACTCTTTGTTATTACATACATGTCTTGTAGCTCCTGAATCCAATATCCATACATTTGATTAGAAATAACCAGAATTAAGAGTCATGATGTAATGATTACCTGTTTGAATCGAATGAGAGGTAGAAACAGTATTAACAGAAGCCAATTTCCCAAATAATAGAGCAATGATTTGTTGACATTGATCATTTGTCAAGCCAGTTACAACATCTTGCACCATTTGAGGAGACTCGTTGGATAAATTTCCTTGTGAAATTGAATTGTTATCCATAGCAGCATTAACACGAGAATCATTTGAAGAGTTGTTTTGTGACCTATATCCAGGTGGAAAACCATGAAGTCGATAACACTTTTCCTGTGTATGACCAGTTCTTTTGCAATGAGTACAGTATGGAGAATCCTTCTTGTTATTTTTGTAATTGTTCTGATAGTTGCGATTCTTGTTCTGTTGATTGTTAGCACGGACATTAAAAGCAAGAACAGGTTCATTTGTTGAAGAAATACCTATGTCTCGCTACCTTTCTTCTTGAATGATCAATGAAAAGATCTTGTTAACAGAAGGTAATGGCTCCATAAGCAATATCTGACCTCGAATCTGAGAATAACTATCATTCAATCCCATAAGAAAATTCATAGTTTGTTCAGCTTCTTTTGCACCTCCACATGTACATTTACCACAAGTGCAATGATGATTATAATTTGCCAATTCCTCCCATAGAACTTTCAATTTTGTGTAATAATTGCTGACTGAATCTTGACCTTGCATAAGATTCATAAGAGTTCTCTTGATCTGAAAGATTCTCGGACCATTGCCTTGTTGAAATCTCTCATGAAGTTCTTTCCATATGTCTGAAGCAGTTTCGAGATAGATGATTGAAGCAAAAATTTCTTTTGAGGCTGCATTTAGAATCCATGAAATAACGATGTTATTATTTCTAAGCCATGACTTCAATCGCTCTGCATCTGCTTCATTAGGTTTAGGCAAGGAATTGTCAACAAATTCAAATTTGTTTTTTGCTAACAGCGCAATCTTCATGGATCGACTCCAGGAAGCGTAGTTATCTACAGTTAAAATTTGTGATACAAGTATGGATCCAGGATTATCATTGTGATGGATGAAGTATGGATCATTCGAGAATTGACTAGAATTGCTTGAATTAACAACTTCTTTAGCCATTCGATCAATTTTAACAAAACAGGGTATGATGAAAAACGAAGAAGAAAGAAAAAAAAATTCAGAGAAAAGAATGAATTGTAAGAATCAAAGTAATCGAAGCATAATTTCTCTCTGATACCATATTGCAAATCAAACAAAGAATTGAGAAAGAAGTGAACATTTTATAATCTGATTATTCAACGAACATCATATCATCTATCATAAATGATGAGAAATGTTTTAACTTTAACTTCATGTTTATTAATGTTTGTAGTTTAACAAATCTATTTGTTTTGGTTTAGTTGGTTAAATTCTAGACTTCTGAAGGGTGAAATTGTCAATTGTCAGTAGTGTGAGGGTCAAGCAGTACATCACATCATCATGAACCCTAAACCCTAATATTTTAGGAGAAAGAAGAAAAAGAACGATATCAGTCCTGAAAGAGTGTTTGAAATTGCTATTGACTTATTTACTTATTGAAGTTCAAATGACCTATATACCCCCAAAAATATAACCCTCGTTAACAGCCCCCTTCACACACAGCTCGCACAACGTTCACCTGCATCTTTATCGCCGACCCTTCTCCGCTCCAGACCTCCGATTTCCGGCGCCGGCTGTGGTCTTCTCCTTCTCCGATCACCTGGTAAGTCCCGCATTCTTTTTCTGGTTTGGTAAGCACATGCTTTTTTATTTTCTGGAATCGATGGTGCACATGATTTCTTGTTAGATTTGAATGTAGAGGTTAATTTCTGTCTGACTCCTGGTTTCTGGTTTAGTTTTAATCCCAATGTCTTTTTCTGTGAATCGGTACACCTTCTGTATTCAAGCTAAGTTTTTTTTTTTTTTTTTTTTTGGGAATCAATGTAAGCACAGGTTACTCTGGATACTGCTAAGATATTTTTTTGGTCGATTTCAATTATACACAACCCATTAATATTTAACTATAATTGATTTTGTTCGTTTACAAATCACAACGATTGAATTTTGGAATTCCATTAGTAGCAATTGATTTTGCACAAGTATCGAAGGTATTACACCATTTTTTCTGAAAACAGAAGCAAGAAATTTACATTTTACTTTATAAGAAACGTAAATAAGTTGTTAGACTATTATGAACAGAATCAATCTAAGTTTCCAAATACTCCGTTTAACATCAATGAACTTCAGCTAGTTTTCGTTTTCTTTTGCTTAGCACATAGAGGGAATCAATCATCATTCATCACATTAGGATTCAGTTACTAGTCTGTTTCACAATTTCAAAGGATGTTGCCTACTGATCCTATGAAGAAGTTATCATTCAAGCGACACATTAGTGATGGAGATTTGGTTATAGTATACGAAAAACACGACAACATGAAGGCTGTAAAAGTATCAGAAAAGTCTGTTCTTGAGAACCGATTCGGTGTTTTCAAGCATTCAGATTGGATTGGGAAACCATTTGGCTGCAAAGTGTGTAGCCACAAGGGTGGATTCGTTTACTTATTAGCTCCAACTCCTGAGCTATGGACATTGGTTTTAAGCCACAGAACTCAAATTCTTTACATTGCTGACATCAGCTTTGTGGTCATGTACTTAGAACTGATTCCTGGTTGTGTTGTGCTTGAATCTGGAACTGGAAGTGGATCTTTGACAACTTCACTAGCAAGAGCCATTGCTCCTACTGGACATGTCTATACATTTGATTTCCATGAACAGAGAGCTATAGCTGCTAGGTAAGACCTTTATACATTTTGTCACTTATACAGGGTCTGTTTGATAGTTGCTGATTGAGTCAGACCCAACTCTTATCAGACTCAGTAAGAGGCATATCATATCAGAGGCTTCTAACTGTGGTATCAAACAGTCTGAATCTGATTGAGGCATATGGAACAGGCCCATAGACTCTTAATTTCTTGTTAGACTTAAGATATTTTTTTTGTTGCAAAACAGAGAAGATTTTGAGAAGACAGGATTGAGTGATTTGGTGAGTGTGGGAGTGAGAGATATTCAGGGTGAGGGGTTTCCTAAAGATTTAATTGGAAGGGCAGATGCTGTCTTTTTGGATCTACCTCAACCTTGGCTTGCTATTCCTTCTGCTGGAGAAATGTTGAAAGAAGATGGAGTTTTGTGTTCATTCTCACCTTGCATTGAACAAGTGCAACGATCATCTGAAACTCTTGCATCAAATTCTTTTACTGGTATGCTCTTGTACAATGCATACAAATATAGCACTTTCACTTCTTTAAAACCTTAATAAATAAGATTGAACTTTTTATACAACATTGCACTTTTAATCTTATAAGTATTAAAGCATTGTACTTTGAAGAATTACCCGTTTATAACATTGTACTTCCAAAAAAAAGTTATTATTAAAACGTTGTGCTTTGAAAAGTCTATCCGTTTGCTTTGTATTTGGATGACATTGTTGTAATTGGGTAAATCTCTCAAAGTACAATGATGTAATAGGAAATAACAAAAGTGAGATGCTATAATATTAATAAGCAAATAAATGAAAGTACGTTGCTATTTCTTGCATGCAACCTAAACATACATGTTGGATATATGCAGATATAAGGACATTTGAGGTCTTACTACGCACATATGAAGTCCGAGAAGCAAAAATGGATCAATGTCAAACTCAAACTGAAGAAGGGACTCCTGGGGCCCGCCCATTTAAGAGAAAGCAACGTGCAAGTGAAGCAAGTCATTGGCAAGCGGATAATTCGGGTTCCCCTATGGTCATGGCTAGGCCTTCGGGTGAGGCAAAAGGCCACACGGGGTATCTAACATTTGCTAGACTTAAATGTATTGCATGAATCATGATGGCATAAGCCTAAGAGGCTTTTTCTTTTTGACTTAATGGAGTGAATGAGTTATGCTTTTAATCTGGACAACCATGCATGGTTGTTTCTTTTTTACTTAATCTAGACATATGGGTCAAGCCAAAATTCAAAAACTTGGCTTATTTTGCCGGCTACAGCTATACATGGTTGATTCTTTTTTACCTAATCTAGACAGAAGGGTTAAGCCAAAGTTCAAAAAGTTGGCTTATTTGGATAGTTATACATGGTTGTTTCTTTTTTACTTAGTCTCGACATATTGACTAAATGGGTTAAGCCAAAAAAAACTTGGAGTAATGTATCGAGACACTGACCCTTTGCCTATTTGTCCGCCTTTTTTTTCCGAAACTCCTCTCATTTTAACATTGATAAATATTATGAATAAAATTGTCATTTAATCTTATTCACATGATTTATTCGATCAAGAAATATACTTTATGTATACAACATTTTATCCATATACTTCACACATACATGACTTAATTAGGAAAACAAACCTTACGACTAAGTTAATAGATACATGTATCTAAATTTTTGTAGTGAGCAGTCATTTTTCAGCTTTATTCGATATACATTACAAAGTTCAAAACTTTATCTAATATAAGTTCAATAAATATCATAAAGTCCAAAGCTTTCTTCAATACACATCACAATGTTGGATTTTTTATTTGATATTACTTGATCTTTGTCAAGTTTGCTAAGAAAATAAAGGATTTCATTGTACAGTGAAGGCAACAATTTATCCCATAGTAGTAGTTGCATTGGTAACAAAATGAACTTCAAACACAATCTTTTATCCCACCAAAAGGGGATAAAGACAAAAACAGAAATCCTAATATGTTAATGAAGTCCAAAAACAAGAAGTTGAACTAAACCCCAAAGAAACACTATTGATATAGCATCTCCAAAAAATCCATCTCCTTCTTCAAATCAAATTCCAAATGACTAGTCAAATGAGAGGACACCTGGTCAAAGTCAAAGCTACTCTCGTTGACCATTGACCAACCCGGCACATAACCCTGCATAGCACCTAAATTATAGTCCTCTAATGAAAACGATGGCATGGCATTCACATCGGATGAAAAGCCCATCTGCATAGGGGCAATTTGGGCATCAACATTTGTGTCGTTATTTTGTTTGATGTTGTTGATTTGATCATCAGATGAAGAAGAAGAAGATGAAGGGACACTTCTTATGTATTCTTGCAAAAGGGATTGGTATTTAGGCTTGCCACGTCTTCTAGAAGATAATTGTCTTCTTTTTGTTGCATTCCAATGATTCTTAATGGTGTTTTCACTTCTTCCAGGCAATCTTCTTGCTATTTCTGACCATTTGTTTCCAACTTCTTTGTGAATTGCTATCAATAACTTGTCTTCTTCCTCAGACCATGCATCTTTCTGCAAATATTTGTTTGTAACATGGTGAAACGATACCATAATAACTCATTTAGATGCATTTGACATCCCAAAAATTTGTTATAAGCAAGAAATAACAATGTACTTTCGTTGATTTGTTTATTATAGCGTCTTACTTTCATTTTTTTATTTAAGTATTGTACTACTGATAATCACAAAAATAACCACTTTATGATGTGACATTTAAAAATGGTCCTTTTATGATGTGACATTTAACAAATTGACAACTTTATGAATTAAGAAATACCTCCCCACCACAATAAACCTTAACAAATTAAAACAAATTTAAAAAAAAAATGCTAGAATGTGGAAGGCATACCGTGATATCTGGCCTCAAATGGTTTTGCCATCTATCTCTGCATTGCTTTGCAATCCTTCCAGGAAGCTTTTCAGCAATTTTAGACCATTTGGTATCCCCATGCTGCTTCACCAACTGCACCAACAACCTGCAAATGTATTTAAAATAAAACTTTATGAGAAGAAATTTAAATAAAAAGAAAATAAAGGAAACCAAATAAGCCTTCAGGGTTGCCTCATAAAAACATTTGTTCACCTTCATGGTGGTAAAACAGCTTTAGTAAGAACAACCATTGGATCTATAAGTTAGTTTCTTGTCAATTTTTTCATTAAAAAAATTATTTTTATTTATAACCAAATTTTATATTTTGAAGATTATAGAAAGTATAAACACTATGGTTTATTTTTTATTTTTTTTAAAACTAAAATTTCAATAGTCTTGTTATTTTTTTTATTTTAAGATTATAAAAAATATCAAAATATATATATATATATATATATATATATATATATATATATATATATATATATATATGGAAATATCAATCTAGTAGTGCCATGTGGAGGAGAGGACGATTCGTCTGCTGCTTTTTCTTTTCTTTTTTATTATTTTAATTTTTTTGTCTTATTAGTTATTTCTTTGGATGGGTTTGATGTTATCAACAGGGTCTATGCGATTTGTTTGTAGAATGTTTTTGGAAAGAATGAAATCAAGGTAGAATCAAATAATGAAAACTGAATCATTTTATATTTTTAATTATATAAAAGGGTATTTTGGTCTTTTACTTAGAAAGAAAATGGAATCCTAGGAATGGTGAAACCATCAAACATGAAATTGGAAGTAATATGACGGAATTGAATTCCCTCCATTTGGCAACCAAACATGTCAGTGGAATGGAATCTCGAATTCCAATTACATCCACAAACCAAACATGCCCTTAAAGTTTTACATCAACTAGTTGGATCAAAATTCAAAAGGTGAGGGGAAGTTACCTGTCTTCATCAGAATTCCATTGTCCTTTAATGATTACAGGTTTCCTCCAACCTTTATTACTACTCTTCCTTTTTGCCTTGTTCTTCCTACAATTTCCTTTCTTTTGTCGCCCACTTTCACCACTTGAGTTCAAGCATGAAACCTCTGTGGGTGAGTTTCCAAATGTTGTTTCAAACATCTGAAGATTGAACTGCTGAACAAATGTTGCTTGATCCATTGATTCCAAAGACTTCAAATTTTTTGGGCTATCAATATCATGTTTGAATCCGTCTTCGACTTGTGAGGGGTTGAAGCATATAAAGAAGAGATCAACTCTTTTAAGTAACAATTAAGTGATGAAGCTTGATATGGATTAAAATTAATATAAGAATGAGTAGGTTCCAAAAAGAAAGGATTTTGGTTGGTTATTTGCATTGAATTAGGAAATTTATGATACAAATTATATGTGGTTTCTATAAGAGAATTGTTAACTAATTTATTTTGAAATATACCATATTCATTATGGTGTCAAAATTTGCATTCAAGCCCTAAAACAATTATGATAAGTTGCTATGACATCAACACTTGTTTATAATTCATTATCATTTCTACCTTTGATGTCAACCTGAATTATGTCCTCGTTTACATGTGGACTAGTTTTTAAAACTGTATTTAAATATTAATTTTGTTTATAAAGTTTTCAAAAGATCTTGGACAGAGTATTTCACATCAACACAACACGACGATGTGTTCAATATCTACTCCAAAATAGCCTTTTTAACTTGTTACCCAACTATCTTTTGCCAATGCTAATGTGCTTGGTTATGAAACTAGAATTTACTTTTAAGCTACTTCTAATTTATCTATGACTTGAACCAAAGACCTGACTAGTTAGCATGAGGATTTCAAATATACATCAGTCACGTCAATGCATGCATTAAATGTAATGTGAATATCTGTGTGACAAGCAGACATGATTAACGGTGTAAGTAACTCCGTCTTTAAGAGATTCCAATCCATTCACTTGGGTTTTGGCCACTTTCATTCTCTTCATTTTAGACCGAGAGAATATTGTACTGTTTATAAATATATTATAAGGTTTCATATTAAAGGCTAATCTGACTAATCGTCAACCAACTATTTTATATATTCGTATTTCGTATTCAGTCACTTTTGTATCATTATGTCTTGATATAGCCGACCCATCAACTTGAGAGACTTGTTCGCTAAGAAGCTTCACATTAATAACAAAGTGCTTAAATTGGGCATTAATAGAACAAAAGAAAAGTGGTGAATCTATCTATTATTACATTCTCATCATTTATATAACTTCATAAAGCGTAACCTATTTTATGTAATAAAATAAGACCAACCAAATTATTTTTTTTTCATTATTTTCTATTAAAATAAAAAAGATACAGAAATATGGAGACACACAATTGACAATACAACAGCATCCAACAGTTGCCTATATATATGTATGTTATATCGACCAACCAACCATCGTTATAAAAAACTGATACATACTTTGGCTAAAAAACTTGAACATCATCCATCTACTGGAAAACTACAATAATCTTCTCTTTTCTTTCCTCTAATTCTTTTTTTTTTCTTTTTACCATAACAATACACATAGCAACACCCATCCAAAAAAATAAACAAAAAATAGAAGAAAAAAAAAAAAAAAAAAGGAATAAAGTTTGGTTGTCCACATGACTACATTACTCTCGAATCATACCTTCCTCCTCTTCATCAACACCGGGAGCACGAAAGCGAGGCCGGAATCCATTTTTTGGTGCTAAACCAAACCTTTCAGGGCTACGGCTTCTGCTGCGGGCCCTACCACCACCACCACCCACATTGCTTTCATCAAAACGTTTATGACTATTATTATTATTGTTATATCCACCACCAATCCTGTTGTTGCTGTAATCCAACAATAACAAAAACACATTACCAAACAAGTTTACATTTTTCAGTTTTGGTCGCAATAATCTTTTTTCTTACAATTCTAGTGTAAATTCTTATGCAGTGTTAATTAGTAATAATACCTGTCACGGCCTCCACCACCACCACCCCAACTACTCCTCCCACCAAAGCCACCGCCACCGCCACGGCCACCACCACCACCAAAACTAGAACCAGAACCCCAGCGGTTAAACCTGGCGCCTTTACCACCGCCACGTGCCGCCATATTCCGAATCTCCACCGGGACACGTTGATTGGAGCCTTCCAATAATTTCACAAGTTCCGAAGCATGCTTTGAATCTTGATCACCAAAAAACGTATAAGCCTCTCCAGTGGCCCCCGCCCTCCCAGTCCTTCCAATCCTATGCACATAGTCTTCAACTCCCGTCGGAAAGTCGTAGTTAATCACCACCCTGTTACAACAAGGGTAAAATTGGAAATAAGTGCATATCAATTAAGACAATCCCGACTTCTAAAAGAGTAAAATTGGAAATAA